ATTATATCATTCATAGCTTGAAATAAAGTCATTATGATGCGTGTCTTTGCTGGCCTTATTCATCAAATATTGTGATTTCTAAGTAGTCTGAAACGCTTATATTGATGAGAAATCACAATTTCTTATCGATGGTATCGGAAAACGCCTGGAAACTATGTAGATTTTCCCAGGCAAATAATCAGAGGATTTTTCAATTTGTATAATATTTTCAAAGCGTTGATTAGGTGTCCTGTTAACTACTCAGAAGTAGGTTTAAATAATGAACTGCAAATAAATCATTACTTTTGGAGCAATACGACATTAATATTCGCTACCTTCATATACAAAATTCCAGGACAACAACTCACGGACGTCAGACTCTCATTTGTTTGAAATTCGTTATGCATTAAAAGCTTTACCATAACAGTAAGCACTTAAATGAAAGATGTGAAAATTCTCATACTTACAGTTCTCCTTAGTCGAATTGCAAACTGGCTCGTGGATGAGATCAGCCGTCATTTATTAGGCACCTAGAGCAAATAACAGCCAAACAGAGGGCTAATGGCATAGCTAGTCCGGCAATAGGGCTACGTGACCTGAAGGTGTGAATAACTAGAGCACTGTCGATTAGATGTCGACGCTCTGGTTCAGCTATCCAGCCGATGGTACACAGTTCTTTTGTCTAATCTCCGAACCAAGCAAATGTGTCTTGAGCTACGGCGTCAGGTCACTCTTGCTAATAAGCTGGAGACGACTGTGCCTTATGTCACCTGCGCTTAACAGAAAATTAAAATTGAAAAAGAACAGAATTCATTGCAAAGGAGAAAACTTTTATTTACATCACAGGATAAGTTAAAGCCGTAAAAACACTGTGAATTTGACAACACCGTAGAAAAAGCTCGACTTAGTACTCCTTAGTCTTCCGACTCTTGGAAAGGAATCTCGCTGTTGAATGCGCTCTGTCAAAGCAGAAATGTCAGGACCCTTTGTTGGAGCTTTTATCTATTCACTGCTGATACACATGGAGCTACATCCGTGTCACACAATCTGCAAAGAGATACAACTGCGGTCTTGTGCGAGGCACATGAGTCATTGATTCGAGGCTGCAAGGGGTGAAATTTAGGATGACAACAATCAGAGGAAATCAATTCTTCAATTTTGGAAACATTTCTGTCATCACGGTGCACAGCATTGCCGGGAATGTGCAGAAAATTCCACATTTATCTATCATCCACAAAATTTCAAAGAAATGTAAATAAGTTTTTAGTAGTTTTGCAATCAAACAGTATAGGCAGGGCATTCCTCTCAACCATTGACCGCATTGCCTAACCTTTGTTTTCTCGGCTGATTATGGAACAATATGGTATAACGAACAATTTAAGCCCTTACAACATTTTCAAAAATTCATCAAAGTCACGTTACCGATGACGTCAAAAAGCTCTGTTTCCTAGAATGAAAATCATTGTAACTTCTCAAGTATACGTCTGACTTCAATATAAATGCTAGATTCGGGCTCGCCTGAACGAAAGCTTTCTAATGATATATACACATCACTACTTTAACGATGTCAGCAATTTTCAATGATGACGTCATCGCTTTCAAAATGGCCGTCGACCAGCGAGCTGACTCTGATTTTGCTAGGCACAATTTGGCATTATCGCAATTTGACATCATGCATGGTTTTGCTTGACACTTTCTTATAAGGGAGAAAAAGCTGCTCCTTCGCCATCCACAGTTTTTCATTATTATTCTTTTAATTTTATTAATTAAATCTACAATAATTGTTTCCGAAGACCGGACCTGAAGCCGTCGGTAAGAAACCGAGCTTTGCACAAAGGCCAAGGGCTTATATTATTGGCATTGCCAGGAGACAGGAGGAAACAGTTATTATATGATTTATTACTTTAAAGCCTTTATTTAATACCTCTGACAGGGCTAGATACCTTGCCAATCACTCATAATGTGCCTGTCTATCCAGTATGCAAGGAATATACCTTGATTCTTTCTTAGATATGTTCTTGACATATTTCATGTTTTTGTTCATGCGGATGAAATGGGGAAGGCAAAGATGAACCAAATTATGTGAACGAATGCTGACTTGTATAGTCAGATCAAGGTGCTGATGGGTTGCTTTCATCAACTCATGGGTTCGCCAACGTCTTTTCCAAAAAAACACACACAGTCAATGCCCATAAGCAATGGCAGATTGATGCAAAAACTGTTGATTCTTGAAAATCGTCAAAAAACTGAAAAGTCGCTTGAAATCACTAAACTGGAGGATTTGTCTGCTTTGTTGAGCATGGTAGCAGCTTTGCAGAAAAGCAACACTAAGCTACTTTTGCAAGCAGTGCGAAATATGATTCTGCTTACATTTGCATTGAATCACATCAACTATGCCCGCTACTGGACATACCAACATCTGCTTCTCCATTGCACTTTAATCATTACAGGGTGAGGGTGAACAAACTACAGCATTCCAAGATTGGAACAAAAAAGAATTTGGCGGAAATTTCAAAACAAATTCTCTGCAATTCATTGCGATTTACATACAGAGCTATTTAATCAAGAAGATAAAGGGACTGCAGGTCCATACAGGTCTGGCTTCAGCAAACGTTAATGCGGTTAACACTTGGATTGCTACGTCCCACATTCATAGCAAGTTTAGAGAGGCTCTAAAAAAATACTTTTTCGTAAAGTCATCATCAATTCACAAGTACAGCATTCCAGGTAGGACAAAGCTCCTTCAGAAGCATAATGATAGCCTTAGAGAACTCTTCGAAGCTATGGCACCAATCGGTTTTCTGTTACACCTGCGAAATCGACTTTAACTGGTGAAGAACTAGAACAATAAAGTTCTACTGACCTCCTTGCAGCGTCGATCATAGGAGAAGGGAATATGCATCGCTTCACAAATGATCGCCTGATTAATGGCAGCGTTTAATTCTTCACGCCGATCAAAAAAACCAAAGCTGAAGGCAGATCTGGAAAAGGTCAAGGGGACACCTACCGTGGCCAAGGAACACAAAAACAGGCCTTTAACTACTCATTTTGAAGACAGGAAGTCTGGAAGAGGCATTCACTCATCCCATGACAAGCGTTCCTCTTTCAATTGCTATCGCTACAGCTGGTTTAACTTTGTGTCAGTCAGACAAAGTAACTTTGCAACGACTCTTGCTCGAAGAGTGGCAATGGATCAAAGACATGCCTCCGAAGTCTGCCGTTTGGATAGTAGACGGAGTGGTAGCAGTTCGCTCCATCAAGCCGATGCCAACGTACCGAGCGCGGACGCGCAACCTTATCAAATTTGTTGCTCCTGAAGTTGGGTATAAGTTGGTGAACCAGGGCCAAGAGGTCATTTAGAAGTGTACTACCGAAACATGTTGCAAGGATATAAGCTCCTATATCAAAATTAGAAGCAAATTGATATCATAAGACTGATTTCTGAAGGAAGACACATTGGGCTTTTGCTTTTCTCCATGTAAAACGCAAATGGTTCCCATTTCGGAAGAGATGTTTGCCTTAATCTACAGGCTTTACATGCTTTATCTAGGTGTAATTCTAAATCCTATTTCCGCAACGTAGGAAAGGTAAGGTTGCTGAAGACAGTCATCAAGAGCCCGCGATACCTTGAACTGCTTGACAGCCTTGGAGAAGGAAAAGTGGTTAGTGATAGCGATATAGAAGATTTTCAGAGGTTTGTTCAAATGGTAATGTATTCTGACAAGGTCAAGAGAAGCTATGTGGAAACAAGACTAAAAATGTATAACAAAATGAAAGTAACATTTAACTCCCTTCTGATTCACATTCCTAGAAGATAGCCTACTGCTGGTTGCGTTGCGTAGAACCATCCGTCAAGACTTTCTTTCGAAAGTTGTGGCTGGAAGGGTCTTCTGAAGAGTCTTCCTTAAAATCTTGCTGCCTCCTTCTTTGAAGTCAAGACGGAAAAACAAGAGCCGACTTTCAGAAGACGTTGGGGCAGATGTCGAAAGTGGCAGTGAAAATCTCCCTGCTCCAAAGAAATACAAGAGGTGTACTGAGGTACCGAAATAGGCCCGTAGTGTCGACGAAATCGGTGCTAGTAACGAATACAAGGAAACAACAGACCAGGTAGACTCTGACCTAAGTAGCACTGAACTTTCTGATGAACTAGAGAGTGAACGGGAAGTTTATGACTTCAGTTCGTCGGAGGATTCTGGCGGTAAATGGATTTGAGGCAAATATATAGCGTAAATCCTCGAATAAGCCCCTGGGGGCTTATTTATTTCTTATATTTTTGGATGGGGGCATATTTGTGGGGGGGGGGGCTGATACGAGGGGGGTTATAAAATTATTGTAGACATTAAGAAGACATTAGTAAAAGACGTCATTTATTTTAATAGCAATTTCTTTATGAGCATTTAATTAATTATTACCAAACGTATGAATTGTTGTGGTAATTCAATAAAACGCCGTAGGCAACCTCATATGGCAAAAATCATCAAATTGAGGGGTCCCATTCGAGAATTAATGGTAACAGTGGGGGCTTATTCGAGGGGGGCTTATTGACATTTTGTAGTGCTAGGGTGGGGGCTTTTTCGAGGGGGAGGGAGCAATTCGAGGATTTAAACGTTAAATTGAGTGATGCAGAATATTTACCTGACAAAACATTGCCACAAAACGATCCAGAAATGCAGTTGATTAGATCAGAGCTTTTGTCTAAAAATGTACTGTTCGACGGCCATTTTGAGAGTGATGACGTCATCATTGAAAATTGCTGACATCGTTAAAATACTGATGTGTATATATCATTAGAAAGCTTTTGTTCAGGCGAGCCCGAATCTAGCATTTATATTGAAGTCAGACGTATACTTGAGACGTTACAATGGTTTTGAGTCTAGGAAACATAACTTTTTTGACGTCATCGGTAACGTGACTTTGATGAATTTTTGAAAATGTTGTAAGGGCTTAAATAATTCGTTATACCATAGTGTTCCATAATCAGCCGAGAAAACAAAGGTTAGGCAATGCGGTCGATGGTTCAGAGGAATGCCCTGCCTAGTACTGTCTCAGAAATAATCGTCAACTGATACATTGAAAAGAATGATAGTGTCACGTTGCGAAATACTTGCTAAAGTCCCCAGCTCCAGCGTTAAACGTCTAGTTCACAATAATATGTTAGTCTAACTGGCTACAGAAATGAACAATATCAAAACAGAATAGCTGTTTAATATTGCAGCATATTGAAAAACAGCGTCTAATACTGCTCCCAATGAATATCCAACTTTGAAATGAAGAGATCTGTAACATAAAAAACGCAAAATATTTAAGTAACATTTCATTTAGACAATATTTAAATCATTCTTATGCCTGTCTTTCTTAGACTTTTTCTTCTTGGCACTAGCAAATTTTTCGATCTTCTTGCTTTCTACACTTTTTATTTTCAGATTATTTAAGTCATGCTTATTTCCTTCGCGACGAACACCTATCTCTGCCAAATTTTTTTCGCTTATTCCGCTTTCTTTATCAAAATCTTGCCCATTATTTACATTAAAATCTCTTTTGTCTTTTCGCTTTTGGTCAGGAAAATCCGCATTTTCAGAACTTTCCTTACACTCCTTTACTTTTTTCTTCTTCTTTTTAGCTGTTTTTGTACATACGGAATCATTTGCTCCATGTTTATTTCCAAGTGTACTAATGCACTCTCCAGAATACTCATTGTCCTTTTTCTTCTTTTTGCGACCACTGAGTATACCTACGAAAAAAGCATAAAGCAATCAATTAAACATGAATAACTGCATGAAAATATAAGATGTGAAGTAATTAATTGTTAATCTAACGATAGTTAATCCTTTACACGTATCTCGGTCTAATTACTCTATTTCTAACCGCGGTAAAAGCAGAATGGCTCTCTTAATACACTGAAATGTTATAATTGACATGACACAAAAATTGCCCTTTTGGGGGAAAGTCTTGAAGTTCACCAAACAAAAGCTTACGGTTATCATCAAAAGCGTCACGGACTTGTTTTAAGCTGAACCATTTCCAAAAGTGGTCCACGTAAAGACAGAGCATTGAAAGTAAACTTGAAAACAGAAAGGGTAAATAGACAAAACAGAAAATATCTCTTTGAACATATAGATTATTTAGTCCCAAAGCCTCGCATTTTCTGACGTAATGCGAACTCACCGCTGCTTTGTAATGGAGCTGCGTTCATAACGATGAAATCAGAGGAAACAACAGCCTCGCGTAACTTTGCTTCATTTTCTTCTGAATCACTAAAAGACAAATATTCTCTTGAAGCGTCATAAGAGTAGCATAATCTGCGATTATATGAAGATATAAGCCGCAAATTTATTAACAAAGGGACTCTTTAAAGACTACAAATTAAGAGCTGTGTCGCAAAAAAGACCCTTGCGTAGCTATATGAAATCTATCCCTTCCTAGACCAGCAAATTGCCTTTTAGTACAATGCTTCAGGATTTTGGCAACTATAATATCTTCAATGTTCTTTGGGTCAACTAAAAGGCATTCTTGTTTCTGCATTCTAACATTTTTCCACAACACTTCAGCTTTCACTTCACACCACACTTCCATAATATTGTTTATGGTTCAAGAAAAACAGCTGATTCGATTATCTTATTTTATGTGGATCTATTATTTGTCTTCAGTCTGCATTTGTAGTTTCTGCTTTAAGGTGTATCGCTTATACATATTGATCTCTTGACAGACGGACACATAAAGCACATTGGCAGTTTGCAAGCAAGTAGCTTTAGTTATTCGATTCAGAAAATAAGCACTCCATGTGTTGTACCTTAACGCCTTATCCCTGCTGATAAATGCTTATATTGTAACTATTAAGTCTCTGGCAAGTTTTTAAGTTTTTAATTGCGGATGAAGGTCAGACAACAGGAAAAGAGTGACACGGGAAGAACCATCCTTGTTTTGGCTGTTCGTTCTCTGAGAAAGGATGAACACTGGACTCAAATATTGAAATACTTGTTCCATGCAAATCAAAATATGTTGCTTAATATTTTCTATTATCACCCAGTAAGAAAAAACAAGAACAAAATGCAAACCTGCTTGACGAGAATTGTCGCTTCTTTTTTGGTGTCCAGTTTTCACTTTCACTAGCCTCTTGTAAACTGGCCATATTCAAGATTACCTGGGATTTTCTGAAAAGTCTTATACCTAAAACAATACGCTTTGTTATTAAAATGGCAAAGAAAGTGATCCACGCCAAAAGGAGAAAATCCGCAGCACAAGGAGAACGACACAAACCAATTAAAAATCAAACCTGTTTAATTTAAACTCCAAAACATTGAAGATAAAATGTCCAAATAAAAAACCAATTTGTCCTATAATAATTATCATTGCTAAACATTTCTTTTCTTAAAGAAATTTATTAACACGTACCACTGTCTTCTTTGTTTAGAAATGTTTTCGGGATCTTCTCCACTGTTCCTATGAGACTTAAAGAAAATTAAATGAGCGTATTTCACTATAGACATGATTTTGATTGAATAAAGAAGCGAATATCTCGTTCTGTTGACAAAAACAGACTTTGGATGCATCACATTGACAACAATCATTGACAACAATCAATATGATAAACTAGAGGCAGACAAACTTTTGTGTACTGCACTGGTGCTGACAAAGCAAATGTGGGTTGGGGATTTAAAGAAACTGATCAGCTCTAAATTTTCCTTGCTACCTCAAGATTAAATAGTGACACAGCATCAGATTCAACTGATCAGAACTTTCAATTAGGGCTTTCAAGGACACTTTCTGTGCTTTAGATGTGCATTGAAAGCTTTTGATAAGTCCTGCAAAAGGCCAATAATAAAGCAGCCAACCTGAAAAAGGGGATATCTCATACCTATCTAGGAATTCTGATAGACGCTTTGATAAAAAAATCTTGACCTCCGGAGACACTTGTAGGCCATTTTCCTCAGTACCATCATCCAATTCTCTACTGTTCCTGAAAGGCAAAACAATATACACTTGCTTGATTCGATTAATGATTACCTAAACATAAGAATCTGGAGTATCTCAAAAGACACAGTGTACACAACATGGCAAAGTTGAAACATAGTGGCATGGCAAAGTTGAAACATAGTATACTAAAGAACGTATACAAAGCCTCATTTCATTGCCAAGAGCATAGAATTAAAAGATGCATAACTAGAAACCTTTGACATACACCTTAATAGATGTATATTTTTCACATTGATAAGGCAATGACAGTGAATGTTTAATGCTTTTGGATCTTTCACTAGATGAGATTACTCTTGACAAAATTTTCTGTCTTTCAGTTTCATTCTATATTTTGATCCTAGTGTTGTTTGGGGCAGACTTGGCCGTTTGAGGCAGGCAGTTGCTTTTTAAGGACTGGTACGAAACTGTCAGCTTTCAAAATTTTTTAATCTTAGAATTTCCAGTACTAGTTGAATTTATTAGTTTTGCTTAATAAAAAATGTGCATGTTCCTGTGGCAACAAACTCGGAAATAACTAACTTTTAAGTACTTAAACATCAAAATAGTTTTCGAATGAATGCTAGTTTGTACTAATGTTATCACAAAATCACACTTATGTGATTTAATTTTGGTTCTGTTCAAATCTTGTTAGCGAGAGTGTTACTTGTTGATTTGCGACTATACAAAACTATCCTTTTATTCATGTCGGAGAATCACCATCTTGTTTTGTAAAATTAGCTGTTAAAGACTGTTGTTAATTCATATACTTTTATTGATGACTTTCGAGAGACTGAAAATTGCCTGCCTGACTTTACTGAGGAGAATGATGTACCGCTTGCTTGCTAAAATGCTCATGGCCAGGCCTGGTTTGAGGATCTAAAATACAAGTAACTTGTGCCAAACATATAAATATACTGTTTGGCCATCATTTCATACCACAAATCACAACAGTGCTGATACTTTTGTATGAGGCTATGAAATACTTTAAACCCTGACTGTAATGTATTAATAGATATATCACCTCAAACTTGGTTTTGATTTGAAGTCTTTACTGCTGTCTGTGGTCTTTGATGAAAATTTACCTGGAAATTAATCATATTTGGTAGTAGAATTAATAAAAGTTTCAAGTTGCAATCACAAAATTCATTAGAATTAACAATAATGTTAATTCATTAGTATATATCAGTAAATAAACTCCTCTCTCATAAGCTCCCCTTTAAAGTGCTGAAAAACAATAAGCCCCCAGGGGGCTTAAAAGATAATTTACGGTATATATGTTTTCTAAATAACATTGAAGTTACTTGTTTCGTACCAGTTACTTGTGCTTTAGGCCCTCTAACAACATCAGAATCAAAAAAATCAACTGAAAGATTCATCAATCTTCCATATCAAGAGTTGTTTCGGGAATTTTGTGGCTTGGTGCATACTTTCTGTTCTCAAACAATTTCTGAGTTGGCATATATTGACCAAAATTGGATTCCCAAGATTTCTTTAGACATTGTCATCTTTTGCCAAAAATTTCTTGGGCTGCTGTAAAACAAGACCTAGTTAGGTTCATTCTTGACTCTCCCTAGAGACTCTTTAACTTGAGAAACTTATTTTAAACTTTGTTGTGGGTTTTTCAGGATAATGGGTTTTCAAATCACCAGATATCACAATTTTCTGTCATCCAGGTACCAAAATTTCCCCATGCTGCCAAAGGCTTGTAACTGGCGATCAGCACCAATCATCTCCAGATCTTCTAGCAAGGACTTTGAAAAACATGAATTACGAGGACACCACTTCTCAAGATACTTGATTCTTTTTTTTTCAAGATACTTTGTAATTGACCTACCAAACCTGAACATAGCATGAGACCGGTTACAAAGTATCTTGGAAACAGTAGTGATAAAGGACGTTGGAAAGAAAGAGCTTGAAACATTAATTCCTTGCTTGTGCTGGAGCTTTGACACTGCAAGAAAAATGCCAAGAGACAGAGATTCCTTACCAAATGAGCTGTCTTATACTAAAATTTCCTTTACAAAATCTTTCGAAACTTTTTGCCGCGTCTGTGACCATTGACAACTCCATTCCATTCCAGTTCCACCGTCGTCATATGTCGACTCCATTCCATTATTGCGTATAGAAAATTGCAATTTTTGGACCATTGACAACGCCATTATGAATAAATTTAAGTTCCTACCTGTTTCAAAGATAAAACTGTCAGCTACAGCTTCTCTCAGCCGTGCAGACTCTTCCTCGTCAGATGAAGAATCATCATCCGAAACTTCGTTGCCGCTTCTTCCCGCCATGTTTAGAAACGCATTTGTTCATGTGGTTGCTGTTGTCCATCGTTTTTCAATAAACGAGTTGCAGGAAATTTTGATTCTTCGGTAGGGGGGGGAATAAAGGCAAACAGCTGCTACCATCGGCATCACCAGAATTTTGAATCATCTTTCGTCTCATTCATTTTGAAATATTTATTCAGGATATGGAAAAACTTAGTCCTAAAAAAAAACTTTAAAAAGTTTTAGAAAATAACTTCTAGAAAAAAACAAAATTTACTAATTAAAACCGAATAACATTATCAAAATCTACAGTCACAAGGAAAAGCTATGAGATATTTGAAGATGTTTTTAAAAGACTCTTGATGTGCATAATTTCCACTGTTGATAGTTGATATTTAACTTATTTGTAGTTTAGATCAAACAATTTGTATTGCCTATTAATCTATTGCCTATTGCCTATTAATCTTTTGACATTCCTCAATTGCAATGAGTTCATCAATAACAATAATTTGAACTTTGCTCTTGTTTACTGTGGAGAAGAAAACTGTAGTATCGTAAGAGTACATTGCTGTATTTCTTTTTTTCACTGTGAATGGAAGGCTATTGGCATAGATGAAGAAAAGGAGCCCCAATTCCGATGTTTTTATCGTAGCGAAGACGTCATCTACTTGATAGAATTACCTTTTCTTATACTTGTCAGTTCTTCACTTGTTGGACACACAATGAAATTGTTGAAAAGTTGTATCAAATGCCTTGAGCTAGGTATCAAATACCACTTTCAAAACAGTCATAAAATCGAAAAGAAGTTTTCAAATTGTAGTGAAAATACTGAAAAAAATGGGATAGGGCTATAAAAAGGTAGTTAAGCACTAACAAATATATTTTTAAACTTTCCCTACATAACCTGAAAGAACTTAAGGTAAAACGTCTTAAAGTGCTAGTTCAGTTATACCTGTTTGAACTTTCCAGTGATATAACGGAAAAACAGATTTTTCTAGAGAATAAGTGTTGTTTTGGTCATGTTCATAGGTTCTAGAACCTCGATCAACTTACAGCGATTTGTCTGAGAATTTATATTTATTCGGCAAATCCTTATCTCTGCAAATTTATAGTCTAATGGGCCTTATATAAATTTAAGATTTTTATTCTAGGTTGTGAATATGTGGTTTTTGATTCCATACATATATGGGCAAGATGAAGTAATAGTTCGATGATTTTATCTTGATATGAGTCATGTAGTGTATTCTATTATGTTATAAAGCTTAAAGCAAATTTTATCGATATATTTTGTTAAGATGTTTCATACCTTGCTTTCTATACCGTTATGTAGAATGCTTTGTTTAATTTTTGTCATGAATATTATTATTTTTGTGCAAAAAGGTCTTTTGTTGTAGTCTGTTGTATTGGTCAATAAAACTTACCGCTGCATGTAAAAAATATCACCATATTTTTGTTT